ATTTTCAGCTTTTGACAGGGTATAGACAATCTTCATGTATAGCACAAACATACCCAACCTCTAAAATCTAATTTATGCTTCTAAATTCAGAATTATGAGTGTTATTTTATTTTTGGAAAATCCGCAACCGTGCATGGCTGGAATGGACTGGACTTCGGTTCACTGGATCGTGCGGATCGAAAACCGTTTTTACGCTGAATTTGCAGCTTTTATCCTATATTTTTTTAGTATTCATAACTAGTGGTTGTGTGCTGAAATTTTGTGAAAAAAGTTTATTGGCAAACACATTAAATCGCAAAACATTTGCTTGTCTATCCATCCACCAACAGTCAAACGCTTTAAGAGAGAATTGTTTTCATATTCAAGCGGTGAGCGCCAAAAACTATTTTCTTGAAGAAAGGCTGTTGTATAAGGCTAAAATCTCGTTAATCAGAAACTTGTTTGGAAGTGAATCGAAAATGAGGTTTAGGCCTTCATTTGCTTATTTCCCATACATTTTCTATAAAAAAGGCTGACTAAGCTACATTCTAACACAAATGCAACAAAACATCTTCGTACAATTGAAAATACCGCTTCAAACAAGCATTTTATCATAGTACATAAGTTCCTAACTGTCAAAATAAGGTTTTGAGTGTTAACTCAAAACGAAAATTGGGATCAAAACTATAAAACGAAAGTCTAGTTTAGTCTAGAAAGTCTAATGTATGCTCAATTTAAAGTTTTTATCTTAAACTCGACATTAAACTAGTGATTAGATGCTGAAATTCAAAAAATCAAGATTCAATTTTTTAAATAATCGGAAAACATTAGATTACAAAACATTTTGCCTCCTGTCTGTCCATATACCAACAATCAGTACTTTATATATTGAGACTTCTATGTGGTAAAGACATATGGAATGTTTTCTGTGGTTTAACACTTTACATATTTATATGAACATTTTCATCCATATTGTGATACTTTTTGTGTATTTTTCATAAATCCTTCACAAATGTAAATCTGAGAATTAAGTAAAAGCTTCTTGTAGTACCTTGTTCTAATGAATTAATATAATTTTGATTAGAAATGTTCTACAGAGCCCAATTTTTCACTTTAATGGTCATTCAAGTGACTATTAAGATTGGTGTATTCTATCATATCAAATAAACGTCTTGATTGACGTCCACCAAAACCTTCTTCGTCGCGACAGAAACAATCGCTAGAGGGCGCGGGTGATTGAGAATGACTGTAGTATGTTTAGCTTGCCAAAATACGGTATGTTACTTTATGCAAAAGACATTGTCCATTGAGAAAAGGTGAATTAATTAAAAGGTTTGACTATTAAAACTAGAACTTTCTTTCATATTTTGCACCTGGAATTCTCACTCCGCTTCAACTTTCATAACTTTTCAACTTCTAAAGCCCCCAACAGACAATAGAAATACAATCACAATATCGGCCAAGTACGAAAAGTGAATCAAACTTAATATTTGAGGATTCAAATTTACAAAAAACTAGAGTATGTTTACCTGCTTGAAAGGCTTTTTACTTCAGCCAGATGCTCTCCGTTCGACGTATTTGTGCCTTTTATGTTTAATTCTTCTATTCCGAGCAGCTTGACTGTTTTCAGCTATCTTAAATCCTCTTCCTTTTACTGGTAAACAACTGATTCCAACAGTTAATGCTAAATTTTCTATCAAGCTTAAAGTTCTTGAACTTTTGACTCGCAGGTGAATTCAACAAGTTTGTTCATCGCAAATCCTCTTTCGTAAACGAGTCCAATCTACCTTCATGTTAGATGTCTATAACTTGGAATACAGCAATACAGTATTTACTGTATTTCAGTTAAGGTGGAGAATTGTGGACAACTTTTACAGTCTCATCTATAACTGCAATCAACTCCAACAAATCTCAATCGAGCGAAAATCGAGCGACCATTGTTTTGATTTAAAAACAAGCTTGAATGATGTTGCCTCAGCTATAGTATTTTTTACATCTGCTCTTTCTGGATTCCTTCAAATACCTTTCAGAATTTCTCAAGGAATTCCTCTAACACCTTTTCTCGTAAAACTGAATAAAGTTTGCTTTGTCACTTCTCTTGTGTACCCATGACGTCACTACAATCTGACCAATCAGGATTGAATCGCTTGCTAAGATATTTATGATCTTGTCGCTTGTCTCTGAAGGGGGTTTAGGCGGGGGCCCTCCACCTGTCATCTTTGTACCTTTTTTGAACAGGCAAAACTCTTATTTGGCAACGCTGCTTAAATTTTCCACCCGTCCTCAACTTCTTTCGTAGTCCTCTTTTCGTTTCCAACTGCGTTTACGGCTTCTGTGATATCCGACCAAATTTTTCCTTTTTTTTGGTTCGTAATCGTATTAGTAAATTTGCTCTGTAAAACCACCAAATGTTCCTCAACCAGAAGCAGACTAGTGTTGATTATAGAGCTTCGTATACGCGACGGAATCGCGTACTTTCGCAAAAAAATTTCGAAAACTTATTTAAAGGATACTTTCTTAAGTAAGATTTTTAATAAATTTCATTCAAGTCAACTTCTTAAATCCTTTTATTGTGGAGGAAAAAAATTAAACTAGAATTATGAGGTAACAGTAATGCTAAACGAGTCTGGAAAAAAACCTATATTACTCAAGTTTGGCAATATCGTTCAGCAACGCATTAATACATGAAATGAAATAAGCTATAATCGAACTATGTTCAACAGCAATGGCAGTTTCCAAATCCACATACCTGTGGAGATATCGGCTTCTAGATCTGTTTACAAATGCCCATAATACCTATGCATATGGGAGAAACCTTTTTAAATAATTCAGACTTTTACTATGCATAATGAAAGAGTATAAATCAGGGTTCATTTTGATACCAAAAAATCTTTTGAAAATTATAAATATTTTATTTTTTCTAGCGTCACCAAAACAGTGTTTGAACAACGTCGTAACCAGAGCCAACCACGGACCCAAAACTAGCCCTCCCACCCGAATTTCTTTGTCGTAAAAAATGTTTTGATTGAGAATGACTGTAGTATGTTTAACTTGCCAAAATACGGTATGTCACTTCATGCAAAAGACATTGTCCATCGAGAAAAGGTGAATTAATGAAAAAGTTTGACTATTAAAACTAGAACTTTCTTTCATATTTTGCACCTGGAATTTTAGCTCTTCCTCAACGTTCAGGCATTTTATCATAACTTTTCAACTTCTAAAGTCCCCAACAGACAATAGAAATACAATCACAATATCGGCCGAACACAAAAAGCGAATTAAACTTAGTATTTGAGAATTCAAATTAATAAAAAAGAGATTATTTTTACCTGCTTGGAGGGCAGTGAAAGTCTATAGGGCGTCTTGTTTCTTGGTCAGTATTTTACAATTCTTTATCATATTAAACCCTTCTTCTTGAACTGTGTTGTAAAGCTAAGCTATGAAGGAAGTTTTAAAAGCACTAGACTAGCTTAAAAGATTCTCAACCATATTTCTCGTCAACCATCAGTACTTTATTCTGTTCTTGACACGTATGTAATACCGTTTTTTAGAACTATATACAACTTGAAGACGGCTTAATTCATGTTTATGTTATAGGGAATCAAATATACTAACACGTATGCAATATCGTTTTTCAGAACCATATACGACTTGAAGATACAATTAAATGTGAATCGCAAA